ACATTTTGTATATTTTAATTTATTGACTATACTATACATATTTGCGATTCTATACTATACATAATATTATATATTCCCACAGACAGATACTCTAAAAGTCATATTTTTAGACCCGTCATTAAATTATAGGTTGAATTTAACCATTTTTTAATTAATTTGCAATGTATAATCTATTGTAATGAGTAATTTGCAGTCGTGAGAGTTTTTAGCCAATCATCAGGATGAGAAAGCCATTCTAACGCCCTTTAGAATAAAAAAAATTTAGTGTTTGGATTTTGGTGGCTGTATCGTATATTAAAAAATTTCACAAGGAATTTTTTTTTTTGTGTACAGTATAACCCTTCGCGGGATCTAAAAAAGTTCACACGAGATTTGAAAATCCCGCGTGCATCTAAAAAAATATCTCATCACTAATCTATAAATAGCCTTTAATCAATTCACATGTGCAAATATGAATTATTCAATATAACTTAGCACCTTAAAATAACATTTTATGCAGTATAGTATCTGCTCTGATTTCGTTCTAAACTTTCCGATGTGTGAACTAATATAGTTGTTTCATTGAAACAACATACCGGGATGATATTCTGACAACTAAGGGAGAGTCGGGTATTATGACGCAGGGTGGGTATTATGACGCACTCATGTTTTTTGACGATACATTGATCATTTGGTATCGTTCGATTCGTTTTACTGAGACGAATCAAATAATATAAATTTTTTTTTTGGGTTCTAATTGTTAAATCACAAGATATAAGTAAAAGTCGACATTACTTATGATAGTATATATTAAGTTTCTTTTAATTTTTATAATATATTTCCTCATTTGGGTAATGTCCAGATACGAAACACAGTGGTACCCTCCAAATGTAAAAAACATAGCATTTTTTGAGTAGATTTTGAAAGCTCATATTTCAATCTATTTTTTTTAAAGTCGATTTTTTTTTTTTATTGGCAGATAGTTAATTCGTTGAGTAATCTATTTCAATAAATTTTGTAAATAAATACGCTATTCCTAAAAATTTTTATATAAGCATCTCTTAAGTGCGTCATAATGCCCGACCTCCCTTATGGTATTTTATTGTTTGTTTCCGTTATTATATTCATGATGTGCATTTCAATCTGATGCTAATAAATTTTTAAGCTGTGAGTTTGACGAGTTAAGTAATTTAGAATGGACAAACTCAAAAGAGTTTGGCTAAAGCTTAAATCAAATTTTTTGGTTTTAGTTTTATCACTTACAATATTCTTAAATTAATAACGTAACATATATTATTAGCACCGGTTAGATTATTTTTTTCCCTTATAAGATAGCCGGAATATGTTGCTGTCGCATGCAAAGCTTTGATTGAAGATATTATAGCTGGAAATTGTTATTCCAGTAAACAATATATGACACTCTATTCATGTAATGCATTAAGTATTAAAATCATTGAATGATGACTATAATTATATGTTTGGAAAACACTTGGTACACTTGATGATAATGTAAATTACTGTATAATGATACAAGGATAAATATTAGATTTATCATAATAATAAATTTATATTGATAATTAATTCATAAACACATATTTTTATCCACCATACAATATATCAAGCTATTATTTCTTAAAAACAACTTTAACACATTTATCCAATTTTTTATCAAAAATTTCATAAGCTTTCTCACCATCATTTAATTTCATTTCGTGTGTAATAATTTTTTCAAAATTAAATTTTTTTGATAATGCAAGTGGAATGGCTTTTGTCAATATTTGACGGGCTGGGCAACGACCGGATATATATTTTAGATTTTTGTTGTAGCCACTATAATTAAAATATTATAATTAAAATATTGTTAAATTTTTATAATACATTTAATAAGATGATGACTTACTCATTAGGACTGAAGGGAAATATTTTTGAATGATTCAATCCAACACTTGACAGTACTCCTGCAGTTCTGAGTAATTTAAATGCCAAATCAAGTGATGGTAACTTGCCTACGGCCTATACATGTATAAATTCAAAAAAATATTGTACATTTAAAATTTCCGTTAGATATATTTTCTAAATATCAAAGTTAAAAATACCTCCAGGACAATGTCAGCTCCTCGTCCATTAGTAATCTCTTTAATTCTTTCAATTGGATTTTCCTCAGTTAAATGAATTGGCGTCGCACCAAAATCTTTTGCAATTTCCAATCTTTCTTGAATGCTATCGATCGAATATATATTTTTAACTCCTAAATAGATTGCTGACGCAATCGACATCAATCCAACTGGTCCACATCCGACAACTACTACCACAATATCATCATATTCATCTCTATTTTGATATTCCAACTTCTGCTGTTTTAGATAAGATAATTGGGGCGCTAATTCATTTAACCCATTTTCTGCACAAAAATAACCCGTACATAATACATCACAAAGTAATAATGCCGTATTATCGGTGATTTCTTCTGGAATCTTGACGAGTGTAGAAGAAGCTAATGGAACGCGTACGTATTCTGCCTGACCTCCATGAATTCCGTGACCATTTTTTATCCATCCAAATAATTGGCCTTTTTCACATCTACAAGTTATACCACGACAACAATAAAAGCACTAATAAACGCAAATTAATGCGAAAAAATTATTATTTGATTCAAAGGTGAAAGAGAAACATACAACATTCGTAAACTAAATATCGTAAATTTACACTTAAATAAATTTTGTATTTACCTCCCCACAGCAAGTAGTAAAAGGTGACAAAACTCTATCACCAACTTTAAAATCTTTAACACTACTTCCAACTTCATTCACAATTCCCATAAATTCATGACCCATTACCGTATCTTTATCATTTCCAATTTCATCACCTCTATATACTACATGTTTACAAAAAAAAATAATAGAATTTAAAAATTTTAAAATTTCGGATAAATCATTATAAATTTTTTTTAATCTAACCATGTAAATCAGATCCGCACAATCCACTAACGCAAACTTTTACAATAACATCAGTATCTTGAATAATTTTTGGCAGTGGAACAGTCTTTACTAATACTTTGAATGGTTGTTGAAATGTTATTGCTTGCATTTTCTTTAAATTGGAAAAAATCGATAAGACAAAAGTATAGTAGAAAAATTTTTTTACATCAAGTTTTCGATTTACTTAAATAATGATAATCAAGCCATACAAAGTTAATTGATCTGCAGGATTTGGCAAGATTATGCGGACCGAAAAGTTTTCCCTTATATTAACATGATAGAAATTTGATCACAATATTGATATTCTTCAACTTCTTCAGATAACAATAAAAATCGAATTCAACTAAGGATTCAAATCTCTATGACATGTGTATGTGAATTGGTGATTTGAATCGGTTAATCTACCTGAACCGAACAAATTTCGGTTAACCGATTAAGGAAATTCTTAATCGGTTGACCCGGTACATCCGGTTGAGAATTGGGTGATTGGTTGGCAGGATCGATATATTATGAAAATGATATAAAGTTCCGAAAAGAAAATGAATGAACATAAAAGACGAGCAAATTGAGACAAAAATTGAGCAAAGCTCCGAGAATTTCCGAAGATAAAACGAAAAGTAGAGATAGTTAATCTCAACCGATTGATAACCGGTTGAATAAAATAATTCGGTTCGGTTAACCGATTAAAGAAATTTTTCTCGGTTCAAATCACTACTTGTCGAATACCGCTAGACTGTTAGCTACTGTGGCACATCAACTTGGTACGTCCAGTACACATTATATGAGTGCA